AGGTCTTATGTCTAGTTCTTTAATCCATTTTGAGTTGGTTTTTGTGCATGGTGTTAGGTAGTAGTCAAGCTTCATTCTTTTGCATGTAGCAACCCAGTTTTCCCAGCACCATTTATTGAACAAACTTTCTTTGCTCCAATGCATATTCTTTGCTCCTTTGTCAATGAGATACCATCTTACACCAGTGAGAATGGCACATATTAATAAAACTAGCAACAACAAATTTTGGCGAGGTTGTGGATCTGTATTTGCATCTGTATTTGCCATTTGGTCTGTCTTTTCTCTGGTTTTATTTATTTATATATTTATTTAATTTTTTTTTTTTTTTTGTCTTTTTTCGTTCTTATTCATCCCTCTGTTGGTTCTGGCTTTAGGACTCCTTGTAGTGTTTCTTGGAGTGGGGGTTTAGTCATAATGAAATTCCCAAGTTTTTGTTTGTCTGGGAAGGTCCTTATTCTTTCTCCATGAGGAAGGAAACTTTGCAGGATAGAGTTGGCATTTGTTGTCTTGGAGTTTGTTGACTATGTCCCTCCACGCTTTCCTTGCCTATAGTGTTTCTTCAGAGAAGTCTGATATCAGCCTGATTGGTTTTCCTTTGTATGTTATCTGTTTCTTCCCTCTTGCCAGATTCACTATTTTTTCCTTGTCTTGGATTCTTGGGAGCTTTACTATTATGTGTCTTGCTGTATTTTTCCTTTCATCATGGATGTTTGGTGTTCTCTTGCTTCTTGTATGTCTATTTTCAACTCCTTCTTCATGTTTGTGAAGTATTCTTCGATTATCTCCTTGAATATTTTCTCTGTTTGTATGTCTCTCTCCTCTGCTTCTGGGATTCCTATAACTCTAATATTTCCTTTCCTCATGGAGTCAGATGATTCCCAAAGTCTTTCTTCATTCTTTTTCCTTTATACTTCTCTTTCTTTTTCTGTTTTGGTTCTTTTTATTTCTGTGTCTCTGAGTGTACTTATTCATTCTTCCATTTCATCTATTCTGCTTTCATTGCTTTTCCCAGAGTTCTTTAGCTCCTCCATTAATCCTTTGATCTCCTGCATTTCTTTCACTTCCCTCTTTAAGGACTCAATTTCATTCTTCTGATCATTGATTGTTTTTCCCATATCATTTTTTACTTCTTTCAGTTTTTTAATCATGGTGATTTTAAATTCTCTGTTGGGAAGACTCATAAGTTCTTCTAAGTCACTGTTGTTGCAGTCTGGTGTTTGATTGTCTTTTTGTGGTGTGTCTTTTCCTTGTGGACGTGCTTGGTTTCTTGTAATTTTTCTTCTCCCTGCTACTTGTTTTCTAATTTGTCCTGTGATTTGGGACACCGTGTTGCTGGCACTGGCCTGCATCTCTTTGGTGTGCTCTTTCTGGGATGTCAGGAACTGGTAGTCCAATCAAGTCCAATATGTTATGCCAGAAGTCCAGTAGAGCAGTGGGATTATAGATATGTTAATGATCATTGTCTCTGAAAATCTCCTCCTCTGTATTTAATTCCAGAGGTGGGTCTTAAGGTCCCACAGACTGCCCTGGCAGTGGCTGGATCGCCCACTGGGCTCCAAATCGCTGTATCCCCTTCTGGGTTCCAACTCATTGCCAGGCAGGGCCTGGCCTGTGGGGGCCTTCAGATTACCTCTGACTTGGGGACAGCCCTTTCTCAGTTCCACACAACAGCTTTGGTGAGTTCCAGATGCATGCAGAATTCCTTCTTAAAGATGGCACATCTGCTTGGTGCTGCCCTGCACCCTGTGTCTGCCCAGGCAGTGGCTGGATCCACCTCTGGGTTCCGACTGGCTGCCAGGTGGGACCTGGCTTTTGGGGGCCTTCAGCTCACCTCTGACTGTAGGGACAGCCCTTTCTCAGTTCCACACAACAGCTTTGGTCTGTTTTATGAGTTATTTCCTATACTTTCAGGATGTCCTGAGTTAAAAACTCAACTTTCAGGGCCTCCCTTGGTGGCACAGTGGTAGAGCGCTGGGCTGCGAAGCTGCCTGCAGCTTCCTCAGTGCTGGTTCGATCCCCGGCCACCGGAGAGGGTCCCACATGGCACACAGACCTCTCCTGCCACCCGCTGCTCCCCTCAGCAGTGTACTTCTTTGTCAGTCTGCCTGTTCTGCTCCCCACTCTGGCTCTAGTGAATTCTCTCACCCTCCCGCACTTCTGACTGTTCCCAGTGCTTGTATAAATAAATCAATAAATCTTAAAAAAAAAAAACCTCAGCTTTCACAGATATTTATTGAGCAAGAAGATAATGTAAAATGTGTTTTCTAATTTTAAATACTCAATTAAAGATGGATTTTTATTTTTATAAAATTGTTATATTATGATAAATTGAAGTTTTAAATAGAAAAATAAATCTATGATCTTAACTATCTCAAGATTTAGCTTTGTAAAAGTTTTATCCATCCTCATTTTCTACATCTATGCATAGTCTTTACATAGTTAGATGGTAATGTATAGTTTTATATTTATTTTTAATTTAATGTACTTTAAGGATATAGTCTTGGCTACATGTTCTTCAGATTATCTCTGAAATGGTTCTTTAGTTTTCTCTTTAATTTAATTTAGTAACTTCATTTTTCCTTATTGTTGGATGCTTTGCTTATTGTTTTCATTCAATATTTTGGATAAGGATTATTTTTGTAGTAAAGTATTTCTTTTCTTAAGATTTATTTATTTATTTGTTTATGCAGACAAGAACTGGGGTGTAGGCCATAGGCACAGGATGGGGTGTGTGAGAGGATTCACCAGAGACAGAGTAGAGAGCAGACCAGGCAGATCTCCTGAAATACACTGCTGAGGGGAGCAGCACATGAGGCAGGAGAGGTCTGCTGTGCCATGTGGGTCAGCTCCCTGGCTGGAGATCAAATTCAGGCCCCCCGTGGTGATAGCACTGAGATTTAACTGCTAGGCCACCAGGGAATTATGCTTGAAAAAGAGCAGGCCAAGAGAGGTAAACATGGTTGTGGCATTTGGTATCAATATCTAAATATTTCCTAAAATGATTCTATAAATTCACTCTGAAAACACTATTGCCATTACTTTCATCTCCTTTCTTTTCTTTTCTTTTCTCTTCCTCCCCTCCCCTCCGCTCCCCTCCCCTCCCCTCCCTCCCCTCCCCTCCCCTTCCCTCCCTCCCTCCCTCCCTCCCTCCCTCCCTCCCTCCCTCCCTTCCTTCCTTCCTTCCTTTCTTTCTTTCCTTTCTTTGATTACAGGTGTTCCTTGTATTTTGGTGCTCCTTAAGTTTCACTCATTCACTGGATGATGAGTCAACTTTTGCTTCCATAAGCTTTTCTTTTACCAATTGTACTTTCTCCCACATATATTGATTGTTGTTAGGCTTTCTTTTTTTATTTGTTTGTAGTTTTTTAGTTTTTATTTGGTTCGAATTGGTTTTGGAAGGCTTTTATTCTTGTTCAGTTTTGTGTGTGTTCCTGTTTGTGTGTCCCTGCATATGTGTGTGTCCATTTAGAAATTAAATATTACAAATTAGACTTTCTTGCCAATTTCTAGAAACTCTTTACATAATATAAATAATGGACTTTTAATGAATAACAATAAAATTAGGGGAAACATTGAAGAACAATTCTTGATGAAATAGAAGAACATTGGATTTTTGACCCGCTCTCTCACCAGCGTAGTGAGTTCTGCCCTCACCTAGGGACCCCTCCTCAAACACTGTGTCCTTCCTCCCATAAAACTGCCCTTGCACTTCAGAAAAGGTTAGGAATATGGCCTGATACCTAGAATTTGGGGTTGTTGAGTCAGGTATGAGGTAGCCAGGGCCCAACTGAAGACATGTGAAGCTGACAGTAACATTGCTGCCATTTTCATCATCAAATAAGATGAAATTTGCTCATAAAAATTATCTTCTTTGGGGAGGAAAAGATGCTCAACTTGACATTTATCTAAGCCCTGTTTCAAATATCTGCTGCTGAGTAACAAACCATAAAATAATCATTTATTAATATTACTATTATTACCATAATCATCATTATTTCTTATGGTTCTGGGTTGACATGGTTTGGTGAGGTGCATCTCTCTCCTGGTTGCAATCAAAGGATGACTCTGGCTGTACACATATATCTAGAGGTTGATGCTGGCCATTGACTGGACCTGATGTCTCCAAGTCATGAATACCACCAACACAATTCTCTGAGCTGTCCAAGGGTGAACTCTCATCCATGTTACTATCACCATGTCCTTTCCCTGCAAGTTGATGACAAATTCAGACTCTGACTCCAAAATGAAATGCTTCATTGTCTGCGCTCATATATCTCTTACACATAGAAAATCTGTTCTCATTGCTAAGGTATGATTTATGTGTAATCCCTCCCCACTTTGTTCAGAGGGCAATGTCATATTCTAGTCTTTTCTTTGATCTGAAACTCCAGCACAGAGCCAGGTCATATCGGATGAGTTAGAAACTATTCACTACATACCTGGTAAGGTGACTGACTAGCTGACCAACTGACTAATTCCCCAAGTTAGGGAAAAAAGTAAAATGATCCTTTGAATAAGCCAAAAACATACATTTGTTTGCCAGCATTTTTTCAGTGTGTTATATTTCCACAACCCCTGCTAGTCTTATCAGATGCCTGTCAAACAAAAATGAGAACTATTTTATAGCTTGTAGACTAATTATAATAATATAGGGGCAATTTTATATCTTAGTGGTAACATTTTAAGTTTTCTCACTCTTTTGTTTATACTTAGCCTGATTTATTTCACATAAAGCAGATGCTATTTTTATAATCAGTATTTATGTAGTTTTTTTTTAAAAAAGTCACTCTACTTAAGTACACGTAGAGTTTCTTACAAAAGAAAGAATTCAGTTCATCCAGATCAACTTCTGTTTGACTCTCTGGAAGAATTTTAGCAGTTCTTTCCTGACATTGAAGACTATTATTTATTATTTCCCCAGTTATCTGATTCAGTGTATCAGCCACCAACAAGCCAACAAACAAAACATAATGCCTGACTTTCCATTTTCCGATGCAAAGGTATCAAAACATTCAGCGAACCATTGCAACAGAGAGGCCCGAAGAAGATTCTGGCAGCCAAAGTTGTGAGCAGATCCTAACAGGAGGTGGCACTGGAGGTGGTGGGAGTGACTCAGAGGCTGAATCTTCTCAGTCGAGCATAGGTATGGGGAAGGGGTACCTGACTCCTGGGATGGCATCCAGTGGCTTTGGGACAGCCTGTGAGCCTCTTGTGTGTAGAGAGCAATGTAATGAATGGGTGAAGGAAAAGAGGTTTGGTGCCAATTAAGATGAAGCAGGAAGAAAAGAAATGGATTCACAGTGAAGAGAACATCAGCATCAGGGTGGGGCTCTGAAGACAGACTGGGTTTGCTGTGGTCCTGTGTTTCAAGGCAGTTTTTTCAGTAGTTTAATCATTTCTTGTAAATACATTTATTTGTTGGTGTCCTGAGGGTTTTCTTACTTACAAATAAAACATTCAGTAGAAATTCAGTCTACTTCAAAGGAACCTCAGGACAATACAACTTGTTTGCACTGAAAATAAAATACAATTTCCCCAAGGGAGAAACTTGGAAATAAAGATTTTCTAGCAGACTTATGGTTATGTTCATTGTTATCTGAACAGCATTTCACCAAATAATTGGTACTTGGCTCGCCACCTGAGTTAATCTGCCTGGAACTTAAGGAGAATATTCAAAAGGCATTGGAGACAGGCTTCTGCTTTGTGTGCCTAATATTCTAGCTGTCAAGGTGACATAAGATTATGACATCCTCATAATCTACTTTATTTTTAAATTGGGTTAGATGTGGCAGATTTATTTGCAAAAAGAAATCTTATTGAACAGTCTAAGCCAGTCAGCCTGTGCCTCAAGTCCTGCCCAGTCTCAGCTTTCTATGGCAGTTTGGAGAATTGTGCATTTCCAGGCAGTTTTTAAATACATGCGCACAGTTTCACCAACAACTTAATTCTGTTCACTTTACCAGATATAGTAACTAAATGGAGTAGTTTGGGTTTTTATATTATTAATTTATTTGCCCTTCTGAGAGAGATGTGGTAAAAAATATTTAATTTGGCCAAATAATTAGAAACATGAGGAAAAAGGAAAAACGAGAAAACTTTGCTGGGTTTGGTATTGGATTGGTTGGTATTTGCTGTTGTAACAAACCAGTCCAAAATTGAGTAGCTTAAACTCATAGTCATGTATTTCTCCCACTACTCTCCAGGTAGGCAATCTGAGCTGTGCTGGCCGGGTCCTCAGGACACTGCCCAGTCCAGGCATGTGTTTTTGGTCAGTTGTCAAAGCAGCTGCGGGCTGGCTAACCCTTCCCTGTTCTGCATGACTTCTCTTACAACAGGTTAAGCCAATTTATTCTCACAATGAGAGAGCAAGGACACACAGGCCTCTTGAAACCTGTCCTCAAATCTAGCATATTGCCACCTTTACCAACTTCTGTTGGATGAAGCAAGGGTCAACATGATTCAACATGGCTGCAAAGTGCCGTGCAGAGGAATGTGGATGCAGGGCAGGGAGGGTTTGTGGTTCTTTCTGCAACTTGTGAAGAAAATAAGTAAAACTTCTTTGGGATAAAAGGAGATGTACAAAGACTTGAGCTACCTGAAGTTATACGGGAACATTCTTAAGAAATAACAATTCCTAAATGACATACACAGTGATATGCTATGCACCTGTTCAGATCACTGTGACAGCTGTTTATCACTTAAAAATAGCAGTTCACTCCAGCTGTGAAGGTGAAAATTTATGTGCTGCTGGTGTGGAGAGAGAATTATGATGCTTGGAACTACTTTTTTCCAATGTACTGTGTTGCTATGCTTCACTTTTTCCAGATCTAAGGAGAGAAGGATCACTTTCTCCAGTAAACTCGCAAAAAATCACCTTGCTGCTGCAGTCCCCAGCGGTCAAGTTCATCACCAACCCTGAGTTCTTCACTGTTCTCCATGCCAATTATGTGAGTGTTCTAAAATGCAAGGGAGCCTGGCTTGGCATCTGTCAAGAGTCAAAACACAATTTACAAAGCCATTTGACAGATTAAAGAGAGAATAATTTAAGCAATGCAAAAAAAAATAATGATAAGACAGCTCTGTCTATTCTTTTTATTATCTAGTTATAGACAGGTAAGTGGACCAAGGACAGGCTTGAATAGTTACTGAAGTGATGGAGGAGAGGAAGGCTACTCAAAGATGTCAAGATAGACTCAAGAGAACCCAGCACTTTTGCTGGGGGAGAGGGAAAAAAAAGAAGAAAAGAGATAGAGGGAAGGGAATTTTTGAGATGCACCAGGAGGTTGATGGGGTCCAAGGTGCTGTGCAGTGGGTACAGTGAGGATCACACACAGGGCCATGTGTATTTATGATGTGCTTTTACTTCTTGAGTAAGATGCCTGTTTCTGTGGCCTCCATCTCAAGGCTCACAAGAACTCGTTGCAGCAATCATATTATACCATGTCGAGATACTCACAACGTACTTACGCTGTGTTTCTCTAATCCATCCTTCCCCAAATGGCCCTGACCCCATCTCAGAGTGCCTACCGAGTCTTCACCAGTAGCACCTGCTTAAAGCACATGATTCTGAAAGTCCGGCGGGATGCTCGAAATTTTGAACGCTACCAGCACAACCGGGATTTGGTGAATTTCATCAACATGTTTGCAGATACGAGGCTGGAATTGCCCCGGGGCTGGGAGATCAAAACAGACCAGCAGGGAAAGGTGAGTGACTGTTCTGTGGGTCTTTCATCAAATGAGCTCTTCCCCTAAAGGAGAAGACCCATGAGGAAGTAAGGAGAAGAGTTGGTGTCTCAAAGATGTGCTGTTGGCCACCAGGAAGAAAAGAGGTGGTAATTGTCCACATCAGGGTTTCTGTCCTGTGCATCATAGAATATTTAGCAGTATCCCTGGCCTATGCTTACTGCTGCCAGGAGCACTGATACCAAGTGTGACCTTGCTATATGCCCCTGGATAAGAGGGAAGAATCATGCCCAGTTGAGAAATACAATTAAAGCAGTACAAAGACTGGGGAACAGATCACTGTCCGCTCTTTTTTGTGCTCTCAATTGCAAGAAACCAGTCAGGCTCAGGGTACAACATCAGGGTTTATTAACAAAGGAGTAATCAGGAAAAAGAAAAGAGCCTGTAAGACGACAAACGACCAGCTGTCCTACACTGGAAAGTGTTCACAGTGTTCAGTACTCCAAATCAAAGGCTGCATATTGCAGGTGCAGTGTCCCTTCAACAAAAGCCTGGAGCTGGTGACACAGGGGTAAATGGTTGACCAGGTTCCAATTACCTCAGCAGCTGGAGGAGATCACAGGCGGTGCTGCTGAGGTGACACTACAGCTACCAGCAACACCTATCCAAAGACCAAGCTGACCAGAGCCAGACTCTAGACCAGACAGTGCCAGAGGCAACAGCACCAGGAGGTGGTGCTGGAGGATCAGTAACAGTGGACAGTTCTCAGAGGTAGCTGGATACAGGTCAACAGTGCCAGTCACAGGACAGAAGCACAGGTCAGCAGGTAATGGTGCCAGAGAACAGGGACCAATGTTACAGCCCTTTGGGAGCTGTTGGCATAAACAACAGACAACCCTTTTTAAGACACCTGGCACAGGCCGGTGGTGACATTCGATAGGCAATATCAGAGGCAAGGCCAGAGGCAAGAGCAGCAGTGAGGCTGTAGCTTGAAGCAGAGATTAATTTCAAAGATCTGAGTCCTGATCAGTCTCCCAAATGAATTTTTCTGTGGAGGTCTTTCCAAGAGAAGGTCCAGATGAGTCTGAGGATCCCTAGTCCTCTCAAGCCTCAGCTTACATTCCCTCAGGGTACTTGCCTTTCAGGCCCCGTTGGTCCATTTACAATTCCAGATGTTTCACTGATGCAGGTCAAGTTCAAATCTGATTGATCTGTTTATAATGGACCACATATAATGGTCACAGCACTTAAATGGCACTTATGGGAGCTCAAACCTGATTTGTCCCTTTATAATGCCTACCTGGTATTCAAAGGCCAGCTGTCCAGACCTGACCTATGCTGAGGTCAGGCAAGTAATGTCTTCTGCCACCACTGTGAGAGCCTGCCAGGCTGGCCTGGGAAATGCCAGCATAGCCCTAGCCTAGCAGATGTTGCCAGAGCTCAGAGCTGGCATGCAGGCTGCACATGCCTTAGGCCTGTCTCTCTCCATGGCTCCTCCTGGAGCCGACATTCAGACCTGGTCACATCCCAGGTTCCTGTTTAACAATTTATGTCTTTAAATTTAGGTTTGAAGCTTGAAACCAGATTCTATTCAATGATTGTTCTTTTGTTTTGCCTCCATAGAGGGCTAACTCCATGAATGAGATAATTAGTTAAAGGACAGTAGCGTATTCTATTACTTGTGATTTCCCTAATAAGACTTCACCTCTCATTAAAACAACCTGGCAGATAAGCTCAGTGTGTATTGGACCTGTGCAATGTTACTGACTAGCATTTTGCCTTTGTGTGACTTTAACCAAAACTGGTCTTTTCCAGTGCTGCTTTGGAGGTGTAACTGATAGTGCTTTTTGTTTATCACCATCAGTCATCTCAACATATTTATAGGACAGGCCAAACACTTTACTAAAGAGTTATCCCTGTGTAATCTTTTATAAACTTTGGTAGAGAGCACCTTTTAGAGTTGAAGGAATAAGAAATTTTGTCTCTCAGAAGAGACCTACATTATTCAGCTCCTTTTCTATGTGATCGTAAGCCTCAAAAATCTTTGAAGTGGACTGATGGGGCTTCATTGTCCCTGGAAATAACAAATCCCTCTTGCACAAATCCCTTAGCCTCAGTATCCAGACTCTGGTGTATATGGAGAATTATTGTGTCCACTAATACAAATACTTTAGCATAACTGAAGCACTATGACTAGCACCTTTGTAATGGGGAAAATTGGGGGAACATGTCCCAAAGTCAGAATCTGCTCTCCATATTCTACTGGCTTTACTGGGAGAATGCAGTGATTTATACTGGAGGAGTTGCTGATAAGTACAGTGTGAGAAATAAAGCTTGAGCAGGAACAGAAAGTTAAGGAGCATCAATCAGACTAGGGTGCCCCTTCCTTATCTAAGCACTGCAGTACTTCAGAGGTCACATTTACATTTATTGCTTCACCAAAATGCCAGGAGGGCACCACATGAATCAAGCAACAGAAAGGCAGTGTTTATTATGCCAGTCATACACCGTATTGCAAACAGTTTGCTTAACCTTGGATTTCCATGACTGTAGCTCTCACACCAGAATACAAACAGCAGGGAGCCTAGTGGATGCCAGGGAGGCATCCCAAATACCAGCAGCCCAGGTTCTCCACAGTACACAGTGTCCTGGTCATCACACTAGCAGAAAGCAAAATGCTGAAACATGCACCCGGACCTTTAGTTGTTTTGGAGTGCTTATTAGGGAAATTTTGGTGAGAGATTTCCCCATTAATTCTGTTTAGTAAGATGGCTTCATATTCAAGAAAGAAAAAAAAGTCTACATCTGAAATGAGAGAACCTGAGTACTTTCAGTTATAACACAAACAAGCTATGTGAGTACTTACACATGTACGTGCACAGTGTTCTCTCTAATTCCCTACTAACTGAGCATGCACACACAGACTCACAGGTGGCAAACAAAATTTCTAAGAGGCATACTATGTACTGAGTTACTGAAGGGAAGTAACCTTAAATTTCAATGTGCTATCACAATGAGGAACAATGGAGCGAAAAACAGGAGTAAGAAGAAGTGTATACTAGGACTGGCCCATCTCATTATAAGCATGTGGCCCTGGGAAAATCACTTTACTTTTTATGAGCCTCCCTTTGTTTAACATAAAGTAGCAATATTAATGCCAGTATTGCTTTTGCTTCTAACCAAAAGTAAAGAGTAAATAAGCTAACATGGGAATTCTTGATAATATGGTAGTAAGTAGTATCTGCCATTTTTTCACATTGTCTTATAGGAAATATCCACAAAAAAAGGGGGGGAGGGTCTAAACTGACAACTGGAGGAAATAAGAGTATGCCACATTGATAAAACCCATTGATGATGGGGATAGATTGAGAAAAACATTTTTGGACTCTATTCAAGAGGCTTAATCCCCTAGTCTAGAAAGAATGTACCCCTTAGGAAACAGGGATTTTCAAACACCACTCGCTGGAAACTGGTGAGGCAATATCTCACTTTGCAAATTCAGCTTCATGGGTGGGTGCAGCAGGTTCCAGAATACTAGACTGTCTTCTTATACCTAATTCTTGCCAATCTGCTTCTTGTTTTATCAGCATAGAAACAACAACCTTCACTTTTAGTATGCAGTACAGTAGGAATAAAAAAGCTATGAATTGTTTGGAATCTTTGAATGCACAGTTGCTCTCACAAAGAGGAACAAAGATATGATGTCTGAGAGCAGAGTCATGTAAAGGAAGGACTAGAGCAAAGATCACAATGGTTTCTCACTCACCTGTTATCTTGAAATTTTGAGAAAGTAATCACAGCCATCCCCCTCCTGGTGAATCATAGAAATTATATAGGGACCTATCAGGGGCTCAAGTGCTGGATTGCACTCCATTTCTCCATGCCTTATGAAGTACACCTCATGAAGTACACTAATAGTGCATAGACTACAGATTTTCTTTAAAAAAAAAAAAAGATTATACAAGCACTGGGTACAGTCAGAAGTGCGGGAGGGTGAGAGAATTCACCAGAGCCAGAATGGGGAGCAGAACAGGCAGAAGGACCGAAGTACACTGCTGAGGGGAGCAGCAGGCAGCAGGAGAGGTCTGCGCGCCATGTGGGACCCTCCTCTGGTGGCCGGGGAGCAGCCGGGACTTGAACCTGTGCTGCAGAAGCTGCGGGCAGCTTCGCAACCCAGCACTCAACCGCTGCGCCACCGGGGAGGCCCTAGACTACAGATTTTCAATTCCGGAATATGAAATATTGGCAATGTCCCAAGCATGAGCCAGCCCATGCCAAGCTCATTTGTACCAGCAGTTAGACCCCATGAGACCCCCTCCCTTACACCATGATTCAGAAACTATAAAACAAAAAGGTCTAAGTACCTACAAAAGACAGCAAAGGCCAAAAGAAAAAAAAAAAAAAACTAAAATCAAATAAAGCCACAACACTACACTACCTGCTGAAAAAGTGAAAAGTAATTTGACTCTCTAATTTATAGTTACAGACTTTTAAAAAGTGGGAAATCTAAAACAGAAAATGGACAGCATAAAATGCAGCACATGTCATCTTAAGACTTCTAGGGAGCATGACATCACAAGGAAATAATATGTAGAACCCAGCCATAAGGCTATGGGAGATTTTATCCCCATAACAAAGTTCAAAATTGCCATAATAAAGTCAAATATTTAGAAGAAATTCAGAAAGCAAGTCAAAGTGATACAAGACAACTCAGAAAAACTGATCAAAGAGCTACAACAAAATTCAAAAAACATTAATGTCTTGAGAAATTAATGAAAATAAAATATCAAAGCTTTAAATAAGGAAATAACATAACTAGATTTTTTTTAAAAAAAGGTCAACAGTTGTGATTAAAGAAAATTTAGAAGCCATATAGCAGAATTGACCAAATGGAAGATCAAACTGCTGATCTCAAAAGTAGTAATGCACAAAGGATCCAAGTGGAGGAAGAGAAATATAATGAAAAAAAAAAAATGAAGAAACACTTTAGGAACTATCTAAAATAAACATAATAGGTATCC